GGGATTGATTTGCACTTATCGCACCAAAGTACATTCATCTCTAGGAGACAGAATGCGTCTCCTTCCTGAGCGGTATGACGGCTGCGTGGTCCCATGGTGTTTATACTTGCGTACTATTGTTTGTACAGATGAACGTGGTACCTTCAGGCATTTGGAAATTGCTCCCAAGGATGAACCAGACTTGTGGAGGTCTACAATAATTTTTCTGAGGTCTTGGCTGATTTCTTTTGATTTTCCCATGATGTCAAGCAAAGAGGCACTGAGTTTGAAGGTAGGCCTTGAAATACATCCACAGGTACACCTCCAATTGACTCAAATTATGTCAATTAGCCTATCAGAAGCTTCTAAAGCCATGACATCATTTTCTGGAATTTCCCAAGCTGTTTCAAGGCACAGTCAACTTAGTGTATGTAAACTTCTGACCCACTGGAATTGTGATACAGTGAATTATAAGTGAAATAATCTGTCTATAAACAATTGTTGGAAAAATTACTTGTGTTATGCACAAAGTAGATGTCCTAACCGACTTGCCAAAACTATAGTTTGTTAACAAGAAATTTGTGGAGTGTAAACTTCCGACTTCAACTGTACGTATTTATTTGGACAGTGAAGCTAAAACGTTTAATATTGGATTTGAGATCAAATGTCACCTTTTAATTGAAAGTATTTTCATACAGTACATATCTGTTTTACCGTTTAGAAACTAAAGCACTTTATATATCTAGTCCCCCATTTGAAGGTGACATAAGTATTGGACAAATTCACTTATGGAGTCACTTTTATTGTAAATAAGAAAATAATATGTTTATGAACACTTCTACATTAATGTACAGATGCACAAATATCCCCCAAAACATGCTAACCTCTCACCATTACCAATAGGTTACAATTTTTTTGGGGGGGTATGATATTTATGTCTCTAACTTTATCACTCATCATTATTCACGATTCATTCATAATTATCCATAATCATGGTAGCATCCACCTTAATTTATAAGTGTTCAGAAATATTATATTCTAATTTACAATAAAAGTGACTCAAATATGACACCATACATTATGTACCATTAATTTCTATTGGGCACAACATAATCCAAAACACAAACCAATTCAAACTGCAAATTCATCCAACAAGTTTATAGTCACAAGCTTGATGTACTCATTGCGTGCTAGGAATATGGGACCAAATACAAAACTTTTGACTAAATGTAATACACTGGGCTCCCGAGTGGCGCAGCGGTCTAAGGCACTGCATCTCAGTGCTGGAGGCGTCACTACAGACCCCTAGTTCGATTCCAGGCTGTATCACAACCGGCCGTGATTGGGAGTCCCATAGAGCGGTGCACAATTGGCCCAGCGTCGTCCGGGTTTGGCCGGTGTAGGCCGTCATTGTAAATAAGAATTTGTTCTTAACTGACTTGCCTAGTTAAATAAAGGAAAAATAAAATAAAAATAAGTGACTTTGTCCAAATACTTATGACACCTTCCAATGGCATGTTGTGTTTGCTAATCTAAGTTTATCATTTTAAAAGGCTAATTGATCATTAGAAAACCATTTTGCAATTATATTAGCACATCTGAAAACTGTTGTGCTGATTAGCAAACACAACGTGCCATTGGAACAAAGGACTGATGGTTGCTGATAATGGGCCTCTGTCCGCCTATGTAGATATTCCATAAAAAATCAGCCGTTTCCAGCTACAATAGCCATTTACAACATTAACAATGTCTACACTGTATTTCTGATCAATTTGATGTTATTTTAATGGACAAAAAAAATGCTTTTCTTTAGAAAACAAGGACATTTCTATGTGACCCCAAACCTTTGAATGGTAGTGTACATAAAGTGCTTTAATTTCTAAACGGTAAAACAGATATGTATGAAAATATGCTGGGGTATAGAGACAAATTAAACACGTAGGGGAGTGTATATTGTTTCCTTCGCTTGACAACCACATGCTATTTCAGTGACCAGATGGAAACTCTATAACATAATATGAAGACCCCTTTCTGATGCATACAGTAGGTACGTTGTTTCTGATATGAGGAAATCCTAACTTTGGGATTTATGTTAATAACAGTCCTCATCACTTCCTTGTTTTTCCATTTGAAAGAGACAAAGATAGAACACAGTGAAGCTGGTAGAAGAGTATTTTCAGGTACGCCTTGCCTATTCAATTAGCAACCAGCTGACGGTAACTAAAGCACTAGGCACAAAATGCCATGTACTTCTTCCAATAGGGGCAACGTGTTTACCAGTATCAACATTTGATCAATAGATGTCTTCGTAAATGTGCATAACAAATGTGTGTATTAGCCCGAGAGGGTTAGCAAAAGCTGCGTCTCATAGTACCTGCACTGCATATTGCAAAGGAAGCCCTACAGTTCAGGTATTACACCCCCACTTGGGACACCAACAGTTTGATTATATAACACACACAAACACTCACACAGACATACAAACACAAGAGACACACACTTGTGTACACTTTACATATAGCAAATAAGTTGCGTACAATCTCCCACCCACCCTCTTATTCCCAAATAAACTTCTAAAACACGCACATGATTTATGTGTATCATTTATGTCCACGCACATTATAAAATATTGTTTTTGTTTTTTGGGGGATTTCATTTGGCATGAATGCTTTTGTATGAAAATTCAGCATCTGTTCTAATGTATGCAATGCGTTAACTGCTTTTAGAGGGGATTCACTCCTGAAAATAATACATTAAAAGGGTAAAAACAGAGAGAAGCTCACACGATGGTTCGGATTTAAATCAAAATAAATGCTTGCGAAAACACAGCACAAGTAAATACATATAATAGCAAGCAATAACAAAAGCCAAGAAACGTTGAATTACCTTATCAAAAAATGGAACAAAGCTATTCTAACACGTGAATTCTACAACCAAACATTCAATAAAAAAGGATTATTATTCTCTAAAACTATAATATCTCTGGTAACAGTAGTGCACTTATCGGTTTAAGCAGTGCAACATATATGCAAGAAAATAATGCAGTCCTCTTATCAAGCTTTAAAGAAATATTTTTTCCTTTAGAAAATGAAAAAATGAAAATCATAGAATTTAATTTCTTAAGTAAAACAATTCAATATTAAGCACAGGCATTTGAAGAAAATGTGCAAAGTAGCACTTTGTTTTTATCTACAACATATTGTTTTCAGACTGTACTGTGATTGTGGTTAGTTACTATCTCGTCATTGTAACTAAAAAGGTGTGTCTACTCAAAGAAATTAGCAAAATCTTTATATTGCAGTTGCAGGCAGACGTGTTTGTCTTATTTTGGATAAAATGCAAGCACAACAAGACAAATATCAGAGCAGAGCCTTTGAGTGATGTGACACTTGAATGGCATCCCCTCTCCCCTCTCCCTACTCCCAAATCTATTCTGTACACACTGTGTCTAGGTATCCGTGAAAACAGGAATGTATCTTATTGTCTGGAAAGTCCATCTGCAAGTTGTGGTATATTATGAATTAGGCTAATTTTTGACCGGGTATATGTTATCGTTAATTATTTTGCCCCGTGTCTCTATTGTCTGTGTTTTATGTCCGAACATGACATGCCATTTGTGCCACCAGGTGGAGCTAAGATTTCAGGAGTAGTGCATTTTAATTTCTCCACCTGCTCAAATAGCTGGGTCATGTTCTTAGGAACATGGTATACTGAGTTTTAGGTCATAGGTTGATATTTCTGTCCAATGCAAGTTTATAGAATCATTCTCAATTCACCGGTAATCCTTTTGACAGCTGTCTTAAACTTCCTTGGTAAACCATTCCATGATCAAATAATATATCTTTTTTTAGTAATTTGAATGATAATAGTAATAATGAAGAATCATGTTGTAATCTACATCTGATAACAGTCTGGTGCAAATTGAGGAGTAGCAATCATGATAAGTCTTGTAGCATGCTCAAGCCTGCCACAACTGCACATGTAAATTCCTCTTCATTGAACTAAACAATTATTTAGAAACAGATGAAGTCAAGAAGAACCTTCTTCTGTCTTCTGTTATCTCACATGTTTTAAATGGAAGGGGTCTAATAACTATAGCCTTAACAGTCTTCTAAGATATTAGTGGCAGTGTATGCAAATGAAATAAACTCCTAACAATATTACATTTTTGCTCAAATACTGTCTTATCAACAACCCTAATTTCGTAAACTTAACCTGAACCATCAAAATGCATGGACAATAAAACATTTACTAAATAACCATTCCTATACCCACTCACAGGAAGCTACATTTCAGTACAATTATTAAAATCAACTTGTACCTCCACAACTGCTGCATTTTAATCCTGCGATACCATAATAATAAATAAAAGCCCAGTGTCAAATTAATTACTCTCCTTTTCTTATCCGACATAAGAAGGCAAACTTGTGACCAACAATATTTTTTTTAGAGGGAATCTTTAGCCCAAGCCAGATATTTTTTTGTTTATTTGAAAATTATACCACAGTAAGCTTGGACGCCTATAGTGCCCAAAACGGTCAATATGGGATCACATTTACCATATTAGAAATTCCATGGCAATGTTTGCACACGCACACACACACAAACAGTCACGCACACATTCAAATACACAAGCACAAGTACACACATACACACATGAACACATACACTCATACAAACATATATCTATACTGTATATAGGTGTGTGAGTTTGAATTTGTGTATGTGTGTGTGTTTCTTTCGTAGGCCTTTCGGTAGTGTTCAACACATAAATCAGTATTTTAGGAAAGCATACATTTAGAGGCCTGTAGTAAGGATCCATCCAGTGGATCAATATCAAACTACAAAGCCTTAAGGCCACCATCTTGTTTTTCTTTTAGAATAACAAAACAAAACAAATTTCTGGGAAACTTAATGTGCCAGTGTCTATACTAATTACTACTCTTCATGACCCAAAATAAAAAAATCTAGTGCCATTTTTCTTTTTCATAATTTTTTTAAAGAAGTGCATCTATTTGTACTTATCCATCGGAGACGTGCATTCGCATGTGGTCATTGAAGTGCTCAATTTGGTCGAACTTGGCAGGGCAGACGGAGCACACATAGGTGGTCCCTTCTTGGCAGCTTGCTTCCGCAGCCACACCCACTCCTGTTCCGACCCCACCCCCTATTCCGGCGCCTCCGCTGACGGGCATGGCGAGGGCCACAACTCCGGCGCCGGGTTCGGGCACGGCCATGGGAATGGAGACAGGGCCACCGGCGCCTGCTGCTCCCGACAGCCCCGTGATGGCGCCCACTGTGCTGTGCAGAGCCATATGTCTCTCCAGCAGGGTCTTGTGAGAGAACTTCTTCTTGCAGATGTAGCACTCGTAGGACTTCTCTCCACGGTGCAGCCGCATGTGGACGTTGAGGGAGCTCTTTTGGGTGAAGCGTTTGTTACAGATGCTGCACTGGTAGGCACGTACCCCTGTGTGAGTGACCATGTGTTTGATTAGGTAATCCTTCAGGGAGAACGAGCGCCAGCAGATGCTGCACTGATGTGGTTTCTCACCTGAATATACACAGAAGTCACAGTCATTAGGATGAAAAATGGGAGGCAAAAACGGACAAAACCCTGCTAAACAACGAAGGACATTGACAGCGCAACTCAATTCTTCCAATGTAGCCTTGAAAATGTAGTTTTGCAAATTAACGTGGTTTGTGCCCGTCACAAAACAAGTTAAACCCAATGCCCTAAGAAAGTTTGACCTCACTGCCAAGCAGCCATTGTTGATGGGCACACTCGTCCTCCATCAGTTTATGAATAGGTATCTCAGCTTGAATATATTTTCGAAACTATTTAAAATACCATGTGCATCATTCATTGCTGTTTCATTCTGCTCTTAACTGGAATATGAAGAGCCCAATTATGGGTTCTGGGAGAATTTGAACCCCTTCCAACGTCCTGCTCAGTGGTAGTTGCCGTCCCTTTATTTACCTTGCAATATTTATGCACCAACCACCACCCACTGATAAAACTCTAAATTACAAATAGTAATCAATGTGTCATATTTTACAGTACTAGCTTAATTGACAGGACATTAAATATCACTCACTGTATTAATCAAATACAGAATATCAGCTATGATGCAGGCAGCCACAGTTCATTTTTCAATGTGACAGAGCCTTTTAACTAATTTGTACACTCAGCTGAATCAAAATCAGGGATTGACATTAAGGTAGCCTAAAACAGGTCTTTCTGGTTCATCTCCATTGTTTAAGTGAAATACAATTCGTGGCATTTCTGTGTGTAAACAGCTAGGGCCATAAAATGCCAGAAATGGTTTGTCTTTCACTTAAACAATGGGGAGGAACCAAAAATATACATTTTAGGCTACTGGAATTATTTGCAGTTTGGTTGTTTTCAGTTTTAAAAAATCGACCTGACCAATGGGGAAACCACAGAGCAGACTCAACTTGCCCGACTGCCATGAATTCAATGAGGGGAGAAACCAGAAAGTTCACTTGGTTGGTCAGTAGGGGAACCCTTAATGTCAATCCCTAAAATTAATACTTCTTTCATGCACAGAAAACCTGTGTAATTTTCATTATGCTAGTAAAATAGTTGTTTTGTTTTTAGCCATCCATCAAGAAATAGCCTAAATATGTCAAGCCATTTAACAAAAGACACATTTATCCATTGCTACATCTAAACTTAAAGAACCATTCTTTGCATTTGTGTATTTTATGTTTGCAAATGTATAAGGAAATTATTTCAACCCCAAACCACTCATGGCAAGTGGTTTGTTACATGCAAAATGGTAAAAGGAGCCAGTGTACTCACCAGTGTGCACAAACATGTGTTTGACATAGTTCTGTTTAGCAGTAAAGGTTTTAGTGCAGAGAGTGCACTCATAGGGCTTCTTCTCCCCCTGCCCCATCTGGGCCGCCTGCTGCTGTTCCCGCGCTGCATGCTGCTGTACCATCAACTGCTGAGGGAATGGGGGCATACTAGGGGGCGGCACGGCCACAAACTGGGGCTGCTGGCCTCCCATGGACTGTGGCAGGCTGAAGAGGAAGGGCTTGTTGTTGCTGGCCGACTGTGTGGCAAAGAGGTTGGGCAGGTAGGAGTTGCCGGCTGTGCCCATTACCTGGGTGTTGCTGGTCATGGTGAGCGGCATCCTCAGGTTGCTGGTGTGAGTTTCGGCCTGACACATGTAGAGTGGGGCACTTGGCAGGGACTGGGCCATGATTGGGTTGGGCAGGGGCTGCAACATGTTACTGTCGCTAGTGTTGTGGGATGTGCCCCTGTCATCCATCTCATGCATCTGCTCTGGGGAGGAGTCATTGACCTCGATCTGCACTGGGGTCCCCTCGCACTGTTGCCCCTCTCCACCCCCTTCCCTCCCAAAGCCAACCAGGTACTGCTGCTGATCCACGGAGTCTGGCTCAGTACCGATGGAGGAGCTTACCCCTGAGTCAAAGCTTTCACCCTTCGGTTCACTCTCCACACCCTCAACGTGGTCAGTGTCTTCTGTGCACTCATCCATACCATAGCTGCTGTACTCGTCCTCTGCCTCCTGCTTTATGTGAATACCTCCTGTCTGTATGCGTACCGGCCGGGGCTGCTTGCGGCAGTGGGTGGTCTCAGGAGTGGATAGGAAGCGTTCCATCTGCTGTGATCTCTCATGGATGCGGGTGATCCATGGCGGGTCATGCTGGTCCTTCTGCGTGCTGAGGGCTGGGTCGTAGCTTGTTGTCATACTGGTTACGTAGTGGGAGCGCTCACGGGTTCCATTCTGCAATGAAAGGCCAGAGTAGGAGTACAGCGATGTGTAGGCACGCTCAAGGCTCTGCTGGGACGTGGCCTGCATGTACCCTGACTCTGCATCGCTGCTGGGCCCAGAGGTGCCTGACTCAGGCGTGCCCCGGGGCGTCTCCTGCCCAGAGTCCCCTGGGTTGACAGGGAACCCCCCTGGCCCGGCCAGGCCCACATTCTGGGACACGATGCGGGTGCACTCATCGATGACCGTCTTGATCTGCAGGATGCTGGCAGCAGTGAGGATCTGGAGAGCTTCCGATTGGGACACCCGCAGGACCCCGCTGTACATGAAGTCTATCAGCTTCTGGATGGACTGCACCGAGACTACAGAGGGGACCTCAATGTCACTGTAGCCGAGGAGCAGCTTGTCCTGAAAGAAGGGGCTCCCAGCGGCCAGCACGCACCGGTGGGCTCGCAGCATGCTTCCATGGATCCGAACAGTCACGTCACAGAAGTGCCCGCGGTTGCGCTGCTCATTGAGGGTCTCAAGTACAGAATTGCTGAAGTTGTGGAGATTGATGTTATGAATGCACTCGGTCATCCCCTTGCAACTGATGTCACCTGGAAACAGAAGAAGAAAACACTAAACATTTTAAATGTCACCTGGACACAGAAGAAGAAAACACTAAACGTTTTAAATGTCACCTGGACACAGAAGAAGAAAACACTAAATGTGTTAAATAATGAATCAATCTTTAGAAATGTGGGCCACACGATGAGCTACATCTAATTTAAAAAATTTGATATTGATTATCAAATACATTTTGAGAAGCAACACAGCTGCACTGCTGTAGGGACATAATCAGGATATTTAGCACAGATATGCCCAATTTAATCCACTTCAACATATGACCTTTTCCATCCACCCCATGTGCTTTCCTCACATTTCAGTGATCATCTTATTTTCATAAGATGTTGGCATTTGATATTGAAACAATCATATCATTCAAGGTAAACTAGCTGGTTAGTAGTTGGATGAATGTCTGCACAAAACTGCACGACAAAGGATCTGTAGCGCAATCGAGAGAACGAAACAACCAAGATGGTTCCCATCCAATTAGTTTTGTTCCTGTCTTACAAGTCTGCTGATATATTTTCTATGAGACTCCAAACCCCCAGTAGGTGGCGCTGTGGGTTTAGACTATTAGGCCTCGTTTATCAGCCTTCAGCGTGCACTGTGACGTGCTTCCTAACTACCATACTCTCCGAATTTCAGGATGTTACACAGCTAGGCTTAAGCAGTGTTTAAGTTTGTATTTGCGCCCGACTCCTTTGCTAAAATGTGTCTGGCAATGTTTAAGCCAAACTCACAAATGGAGTAGTGACTGCCCTGAACACAAATTGTAAATAATAAACTCATATCTACAAATTGGCTCAGCTAGGCTTCATGATATTTCAAGCATTACAGTATTACTCTCAATTCATGCGTTGTTGAAGCTCTTCTTGGATATCTACATGTAGTATTAACAAATTGCTACAAAAACAATACACAACTGACTTGTTGAATGTTTTACTTTTATCACTGACATTTGTAGATCAGTTTAACAAGAATGGATATGACAATGACATTCAATGGCATCCAATAGCTTTGTCACTCCATACATGGAAGCTAGATTCATTGAATGGTTTAAATGTGGTGTTCTACCATTTTACCATTACATCTCATCTCAATATAACATCATAGATTTTATTAACCAATCTGTATCAAATCACTAAATATTATTTTGCATTAGCCCTCCAGCAAATAGCCTCATTATACTATCCTCAAAAAACATGAATGGCTTCTCTTTAAGACTGAACACCTGTTCATACAATCTGTATACGTTTTACATAATTTCATTCATCCACATAACCCACACCCGGAGAACAAGGGTTCTTAAAACCACTGCTATTATACAGCACCTCTCCCTTTACTCTCTGGATACATACTGTACATCACACACACACGTTTATTCATATAGCTCCTGACCCCTCTTCACTACTAGCACCCTTGTAATTAGCATATGCTTAGCAGTAAAACTACAATGAAATTAGGCTACTTTACTATGCAACCATGGTGACAGAAAAACAAACACCTCCCCTTGATGTTAAACACGATCATCAAGATCTATCTAGATAATGTATATTCATGGCCCATGCCTTGCTTTTAGGTCAACAAAAGGAGAGCTCCCAAGTGATTACATTTGACCACCTGTCAGTGAATATGAAAGCCTTGAATCTATGTGTCTATTTACTATAATGTTTTATCGAAGACATTCTATCAAAACCAAGGGAAGGACTAATGAACACCATTTACTATTATTAACTCTTGGGAAACCAAATGACCGTAAAATATATAAATAAATAAAACGGAAAAACTAATTAAAATAATGAGAACAAACATCCTCAAATTATAGCCATTATGCTTAATACAATCAGAAACAGAAAATGTTGATGATTGCAACATGCAGGACAGCTTTGGTATATATTAATAAAACCATACTGAATGTCTGTTAATAAATGAGAAACACACCCATGCTGCTGGAGATACAGTGGCCAGTGTAGCCTAACTATGAGTGCACTGACCGACTGACCACAGAAATATACTCACACAGTCAGATGACGCTTGGTTGGGAAGATGTGTGTGAGGCTGGTGATGAGGCACGGGACACACTGCTACAGGTTCCTGGTGGAGGTGGCTGAGGAAAGACCAGTGCTAGGCAATACCTTCCGTCCTCTCTGCTGCCTCTATCATAGGTCGCTCTGCCACAGTGGTCTCTTCAATACCACCCTAGGGGAACAAGAGAGAATTCCTAAATCAACATGCTCATTCTGAGAAAGAAGTATCTAACCTTGATACGTCGAGACCGAAGCAAGCAAATGTATTCGTAACTTACAAAAGACAAGTGGGAAACTTTGAATCGGTGACGTGGATGCAATGCAATGGATGTGTTATAATCTCCAACGTAAAGAGTGAGTGGACCTTCTAGACTAATTTGAAGGCAGTTTACTCTAGTGGACATTTGACCGCCAATTATATGTCAAGGTTGGAAATCATAAGGTCACAAAGCCAATCTCTTTTGAGCCGTTATCTAAACTACTGGTCAGTGAACCACACACTGCCAAAGGAGATCTATCCACCTTTCAGTCTGATTTACTCACAATGATATATCTCCTCATATCATATTTTTCAGTTCTGAATAAAAGGTCAAAGGCTATAGACATACCGTTATGCACACAACCTGATAGAGTTATCAGAAAAGCATTTAGAGAGACCAGAAATGTCTACAGCATGCCTTGAAAGGACCTACAGAGGACACAGGAGCTAGAATCAATTTAATAAGAGGTTGCAACAATGGCAAAAGGATTGTTCTCCAATACAAAAGTCTCCAACTGGATGGTGTGTGTGTGTGTGTGTGTGTGTGTGTGTGTGTGTGTGTGTGTGTGTGTGTGTGTGTGTGTGTGTGTGTGTACCAAGGCAGTACTGAACGTGATTTCAAATCCATGTTTTACCCAGTCCCTATGTATCTATAACTCACTGTGCTGTTATATATATATATATACACACAAAAGTATGTGGACACCCCTTCAAATTAGTAGATTCGGCCATTTCAGCCACACCCGTTGCTGACAGGTGTATAAAATCGAGCACATAGCCATGCAATCTCCATAGACAAACATTGGCAGTAGAATGGCCTTACTGAAGAGCTCAGTGACTTTTAACGTGGCACTGCCATAGGATGTCACCTTTCCAACACGTCAGTTCGTCAAATTCCTGCCCTGCTAGAGCTGCCCTGGTCAACTGTAAGTGCTGTTATTGTAAAGTGGAAACGTCTAGGAGCAACAATGGCTCAGCCACAAAGTGGTAGGCCACACAAGCTCACAGAACAGAGCGCTCCTAGGTTGCAACACTCACTACCGAGTTCCAAACTGCCTCTCGAATTTTTTAATTTTTTTAATTTTTTTTAGGTCATTTAGCAGACGCTCTTATCCAGAGCGACTTACAGGAGCAATAAGGTTAAGTGCCTTGCTCAAGGGCACATCGACAGATTTTTCACCTAGTCGGCTCGGGGATTAGAACCAGCGACCTTTCGGTTACTGGCACAACGCTCTTAACCACTAAGCTACCTGCCGCCCCACTCGAAGCAACGTCAGAACAAGAACTGTTAATTGGGAGCTTCATGAAATGGGTTTCCATGGCTGAGCAGCTGCACACAAGCCTAAGATCACCATGCGCAATGCCAAGCATCGGCTGGAGTGGGGTAAAGCTCGCCGCCATTGGACTCTGGAGCAGTGGAAACGCGTTCTCTGGAGTGTTGAATCATGCTTCACCATCTGGCAGTCCGACGGACAAATCAGGGTTTGGCGGATGCCAGGAAAAAGCTACCTCCCCAATGCACAGTGCCAACTGTAAAATTTGGAGGAGGAGGAATAATGGTCTGGGGCTGTTTTTCATGGTTCAGGCTAGGCCCCCTAGTTCCAGTGAAGGAAAATCTTAATGCTACAGCATACAATGACATTCTAGATGATTCTGTGCTTCCAACTTTGTGGCAACAGTTTGGGGAAGGCCCTTTCCTGTTTCAGCATGACAATGCCCCTGTGGCACAAAGTGAGGTCCATACAGAAATGGTTTGTTGAGATCGGTGTGGAAGAACTTGACTGGCCTGCACAGAGCCCTGATCTCAACCCCATCGAACACCTTTGGGATTAATTGGAACGCAAACTGCGAGCCAGGCCTAATCGCCCAACATTAGTGCCCGACCTCACTAATGCTTGTGGCTGAATGGAAGCAAGTCCCCGCAGCAATGTTCCAACATCTAGTGGAAAGCCTTCCCAGAAGAGTGGAGGCTGTTATAGCAACAAAGGGGGGGACCAACTCCATATTAATGCCTCTGATTTTGGAATGAGATGTTCGACAAGCAGGTGTACACATACTTTTGGTCATGTAGTGTGTCTATATATATATATATATACTTAAATAGCAAACATTTTGTTACTATGGCGTACCATATTAAGAGCTTATGATCAGTAACAGTCAAATGATATATACCATAACACATAGGCATTCATGGAGAAACACAAAAAGGCATTCAGCTACACCCAGCATGTGATTCTCAGGTTTACAGAGACTCTAAGCCGCACAGGTATACAGTGGGGTCCGAAAGTATTGACACCCTTGATAAAGATGAGCAAAAATGACTGTATAAAATAAATAATTGAAATACTGAGCTATATTGTATGCAAAAAAAAATATATAATTATTTATATTAATACAATTACTCAGAAATATATTTTGTTTAACCCTTTACACTAGTCCCTGTATACGGGTTGAAAATAGCATGGTCACTGATAAACGCCTAAATTGGAATGCAGTGGCTGTACAGTAACATGCTATACATGACGTCAGAGCTCTCTGCTTCACAGCAATGTATGGGTTTTGAATGACAGCTGTTCTGAACTTGAGCATTGCGCGTGACAAAAAGTTGCCCCCATCCCTCCCTTGCACATTTTTTATTGAGCGGGGGGAAATGCTTTAAATTAAGATGACTTGATGTATGTTTG